TGACAGAGACTCAATCGTCCGATTGAAGAATGATTGGATACGAACGGCGCTCAGTCATCTGAACGATGGCTAGTAATGTCACAGGAGTCTGAGAGAAGTTGGAAAGCAGGAGACCAAACAGACGAGACAGGATTAGTCGGCGAAACGACATTGAGTCCAACAGCTAATTTTAGGAGGGCAAATGGAGTGGAGGTGGAGGTGTAGGTGACTATATAAGTAGAGGGTGAACACGTCTAGCAGGCTCTCAACGTAAGTGCCATATAGCTTGGGTCTAGGCCGTTTAAATGTTGCTGGTCTGGAAAGGGTCAAAGAAGCAGACCGGTCAGATGAGACTAGGTTATTACAGGGCACATAGTTGGCAGTCCGATTAGAGAAGAAATGATAGTAGAGAACGTCATAAGGAGACGGTCCGGATAGGGAGAGGTTTACTTATAAGGTGTGGAAAAGTCCATGGGGCTCGAGAGGTAATGGGGACAGAGCGTTCGCACTTCTCATTCAATGCCGGTAACGTCACAGCAGTCTGCATGAACTCGGAGAGAAGGGGACCGATCAGACGTGACTGGATTAGTCGGCACACTTAGAGTAAGTAGTACAGTTGAGGTGGGAGGGTAAATAAAGCGTCAGCGGAGACGGATGGGTTGGGATGGAAGAGGTTACATGAATATAAGGTATGCAAGTCAGGCAGGCTCGCAATGTGAGAGAAGTTGTGTGGTGGTGATACAGAGCCTAAAACTACATTTCGCTAGTTAGGAAGCAGTCAAAGAGGATAATAGTGCAGGGCTCTGAGAGCTCGCTATGCGGATGAAGAAGAAATAAAGACAGGCCGCGATAAGGAGAGGACAGAGTTGAGAGTTAGCGTTTACGGATATGAAATGCGACAGTTAACGAGGCTCTAGAGGTAATGGTGGCAGAGCATTCAGTCTTCCGAGCATAGCAGGCAGCGTCGCAGAAGTAGGAGAGAAGAGGACCGATCTGCCAAGGTTGGACTTGGTCGGCGCATTGTGATTGAGTCCTATGGTTCATTTGGGAAAGTAAGTGGAGTCAGT